GGGAAGGGAGAGAGGGAGAGAAAGGGAGGGAGAGAGAGGGAGAGAAAGAGAGGGAGAGAGAGGGAGAGAAAGAAAGAGGGAGGGAGAGAGAGACGTACATTGGGCTACTATACCTTTATCGACTTCGTAGGACTTGAATTATGAAATCTGTATCTTGTTATCTTTTGTTTGACCTTGACCTCTTCCCTCATGACCTCAATCAAAAGAAAGCAGGCCGATTTGAGTATCCATGAATAGAATAAAGAAAGACTTAACAAAATTCATTCACGCATTTTTTTATAAGAAAACAGCAAAAAATGCACAACATAAAAAAGAATCCCATAATAAAATGACACCCCTTAATTTTGAAAATATACCTGCACTGAAAGTCAGTAGCCTGCATGCACTTCCGTCCGCAGTCGTCAGGCTTGATGTTACAGAGGATCTGATTGGCTGAGTCCCGGAGGCGGTGGTTTTTGAACTCGGTGTAGTAGTCAAGCCACGCCCCCGGCTTCAGCTCGTAGTAGTCGGTGCCGCTGTGGACTTCGTAATGACTCGGGTCGTTTTCTGTGTTGGCCTCACTTGTACGGCAGCAACTGTGTGTGTAGTTGTTTAAAGTTAAACCTTTTTAAAAAATTTCCTCACCTAGAGCTTTCGACCAATCACTCTGGTCTTCCTCAGTAGACTGACCCAGTGAAGCTTGTCATGTGGCTTCTTTGAAGTGTGACGTCAACACTGGGTCAAAGGTATCTGGTTCAATGTAGGGTGATAGGCCCTGATGTATATGGCTTCCTTCACCCCAAAGTCAAAGTTTAGGTATTGATCCGTATGTGTGGGTTTCCTACATTGAACCGCGACGGGAGCCGACATCGTCTACCAGATACCTTTCACCCAGTGTTGACGTCACACTTCAAAGAAGCCACATGACAAGCTTCACTGGGTCAGTCTACTGAGGAAGACCAGAGTGACTGGTCGAAAGCTCTAGGTGAGAGAACTTTTTTGTGTTGGACCAAAAGTTTTAACTTGAAACATGTAACTACCAACACAGATGAACTTTCATGATTGTGTGTGTAGTTATTCACTTCTTTATATCAAGGTAAAACAAAGAAGCAAACACGGAACACGGACGTCTAATGGCTAGATAAAGGTGAAATATTTTAACAGTGCAATTTTAAGTCACAATAACTGTTGCTTTAAGTGTTTTACTAATTTTGAGCTAAATCTCTCGCGAGATGTAATGTCTGTAAACCAATTTAGCCTAGGTGTCGTAACAATGTAATTTCTGAATAAATAAACCATTACTATCTACTTGTTTGGCTGTTCAGCACAAAAATGTACAGCCAGGGCAGCACAAATGGTCTGTGGCTATTACAATGGGCTTGCCCTGCTGACAAGACAAGGCATTACAATACCATTTTATGTGTGTAGCTTAACATTCTATAACACCTTAGACATAGTTTTAGACATAGCTATAGCTTTAGACAACTACCTTTTATCATGTAGATTTTAGCAATTTTATGCTCTGTTTCATTGTTCTTTTATGTTTGTAATTTGCAATTAGCCCCCGGGCTCGAATTTGCAATAAACTTCTCGTTATTATTATTCTATATTTACTGTAAAAGCATTGCACATCAAGGAAAACCATTACTACAACATTTTAAACGGTCCTGACCTTCCGTCATGTTCGAATGATCGGCAGTTGTAGTCCGTGTCCGTGTGACACCGCCTGGCGCACTCCTCCACACTCACGCCACAGTACGTCCTGATGTCGTGTCCGGACATCCGCCGGTCACTTCTCTTAGCGAACTCACTCAGGGCATCTGTGCAGCACAACAAGATTCACATCAGATTCAGATTTACATTTATAACAAGAATTCGGAGATCTCATACCTCCATGAAATATATGAGTTTTTACTGTTATTTTATTGTTTTTGGCGTGTCTGTCTGTCTGTGTGTGTGTGTCTGTCTGTGTGTGTGTGTGTTCGTGTTTCCGCACATTTGTAGTCAGCATAACTTCATAACGCCTTTATGGATTGTGATGATACTCGTATTTGGTATGGCGTAATAAAGTTTTGCTGACTACAAATGTGCGGAAACACACACACACACACACACACACACACACAGACGCGACCAAAAACAATACCTCCATTTTTCATGGAGGTAATTAATATAATCATATAATACACATATTGTGCACATAATACAGCAAAGTTTAAACTGCGATTCGATTATTTCGGAAGTTCATCTGAGGTGGTAAGATATATGACGGGGGGCGACACGGACTTCCGACCAGATCTGACCCATTGCTGACGTCACACATAAACAAAGCCACGTAATCCTAACAGTCAGAAATGGCAGGGAAACCGAATTACTAGTATTTGGTGGAAAGTTTTATTTCTTCATTGGAGGACATAAGTTACTTCGGTGGTAGGGATAAAAAAGATCACGTGAATGAATACGACTTATAGCTTTTCTCACGTGACTAGTACGTCAGCATCATCGGCCATGTTGGATGGTTAAACCTTGCAGTAGCCATGTTAATTTGATTTTGTTTATGTAATTACAGTCACGTAATGGTGACATATATATTTATATAGTTTAGAAAGTTTATCGCAAGTACTTGCCCGAGGGCTAATTGCAGTTACAAACAACATAAGAAAGAAAATACAGTGGTATGTGAGACTATATCTACGTCTAGCATTATACTATATTCTACAACATACATGGTACTACTTTTACTGGGTTTGACTTCTTCTTTTTAGGCAATGAAAGACGAATTTACCCACTTCATCTATAATATGTGGGTTCTTTTATTTTAGTAGTAAAATTGCTTTTTTTTGTGGTAGGGAATGGTGGGGAAGTGAGGGAGCATTTTGGACACGGTGCTAAATAATTGTTTTCTGATGTCGTCATAAAATGGACAGTTAGAGATGAAATAAATTTCGTCTTCCATTGCATTTGAGGAGCAATATTTACAAATTCTCTCCGACACAGGTACTTTCATTTCTCTTCCAGCCAATATGGCGTCTGTGACGTCACGTGCAAACACCCTATAGAAAGATGTTTTCAAACTGTCCGAAACCCCCAATCCAATTAGCACAGCCTCCTATCGTAATTCATTTCAAGCGCCCAACAAGCGCATACGGCAATTTCTTTACATCAAGGACATCGGTAATTCCGAAGCTTGAAGAAACATGGCCGCAGTCCTTGACCTGTGCCCCCAAACTACTACACCAGCCTTCATTACCAGATAACACGCTCACTCACCACATGGTGTTTCCCATAGAGCGCTTCTGATTAGCGTTGTTATCAATGACTGGCTAACGTAAACATTGAGCGATACGATAACAAACATAAGGTAAGGTAATAAGAAACACATGCGTCAAAATTAATAATAAATTGTCCCTTTTCTATTGCGTCAGTCTTGTTGTAAAGAGTCGGCAATATGGAGAGTAACGTTGCAATACGATAAACTGGTGCAATTGCTAACAATGTTTTTGTATGATTTGGGATATATGTATCTATTTACGCCAATTTCCACACAGCATTAAAGCAAATCATTCAAAACTCAAAACTCACTACAAATTCATATAAATACTGATAGAGTAATAACTATATTTATTATCATTATCATAACTGGCTATTTGGAAAGCAGCCTGATGTAATGGTGTCAGAAGAGGTTTGAGTCACTGGACCTGAAAAAACTCTCATTTATCTATCGTCAACGTCATTGACGCTATACAATGTCGTTATTAAAATAACAGAAAGCACAACTGTCTTGTAATGTAGGGCTTACCTGGCCGTGCCTCAGATACCACCAGGACACCGAGCAAAACTGTTAGGCACAACATCATTTTCCCTAGGAACGAAAAATATAGACACAAGTCAGTATATGATATATTTCCAAGCATTTTCCAGGCTCAACTTTATAAATTCACATTTGTTAAGGTATCAATCAATAGAATAGAATAATCTTTTATGGTAAAGCATTGCAGGGGAAAAAGTTCAGACTAAGAACACAGAAAGTTCCAAACTTAACTTTTCCTTACCGACAGAAGGACACAGCCTCAGAAGTTGACCCGTCTCTGAGCTCGTGTAGTCTAGTTCTGTGTGTTTAGTGGTCCGAACACTAGCTAGATATGACGTAACCTAATTTACATATTATCACCAAACATGACTGCTTGAACGATAAGTAAATGTCACATATCATAAAACGATATCGTATAATGTCATGAACGAAAATGCCGTATGTACTTTTATTATACTAGAATTAATAATCATCTCATTTTATTGAAATAGTTTAATTGAAAATTATCATTTAATTTTCACGTCAGAACGGTAAACGTTTACTTTCTTTAATTTCCAAACGCACGTACGTATAAAATCCAATCTCCTACACATGTTATGAGTACTACGCAACTGATATATTTGCTTATTTAGCGTATAACATGTAGGATAAAAATGTAGATAACGTTTATTCCGTGTTGGTTCACCGCGATAATTTGAAAAGTATTAGGCATGATGAAGTCTCGCCTAGCAGCTGCCAGCTCTCACAAGCAAAACAGTGACTCTATTATGTAGTCAGGAATTTGCTGAAGTATATTGATAACAATATTAATTAACGTACAATTTTCGCAAGTTATAATTGTAAATCATAAATGAGGTGTTAAGCCAATAACCTACAGTGCAATAGAACGAGATAACATTTCCCCTTTTCTGGTACTTTGGGCTGAACCTGACAGGCGTGGTTATGTTTTGTCACCTATATTCAAGGTTGTCTTAACGTAAAAATCCGCTAGATGGCGCGATGGTGAAATGTTCTTCCTGGGTACCGGTGTTTATCATATCACGAACCTCAATAGTATAACTAAAATAGCACAACGTAAAACAATAGCACGTCTCATTCCATATGACAAACAACGAATAATCCCTTGTCCATTGTTTTTTTATGTACACTAGGAATATCACACCAAACGACATAGGTAAAATCATGAAATATTATCCGAATTATAAAATGAATTTGAAAAGATGACATCCATAATTTAAAGAGTACTTCCTAGCGTTCCCCATGGATTTTAGTCAACACATGGCATCGCCATTTAAGACAATGGTTACCATATGGATGCACTGATTTGAAACGACTTGAAAACGACTAAAATACGTCTGAAATCCGCTTAAAATTAATTTGACGACCCACTAGAAACTTTATTTTTAAACTATGTGTTATCCTTATCCTTCTTTCTCTGGCCTGCATTGTACAAGTACAAGTACAAGTTACCATGACAACCAACAACAAAAGACTATATTATTGCTAAAGTCTCCCAACCCATTTATTTTTCAAAGAGTCGGACAATTCATCTCCCACTGCCTCCTGAGAAGAAGTCAAACCCACTAATAGCATGGCAAGAATAGTTTAATAGACTAGAATATCAGTTACCTTGTTCCTATTACCCGTTCACATATTGCATATTTACTTTTTACCCTGTATGTATACCAACGTTATTAGATTTAAGTAGAGATAGTAGGTTCGATAAGTATATCGTACACGTAGAACTTCATGTTAGGAAATAGTCTTATATCACCACATTTTTCTTGTCAATGTCTGTATGCAATTAGCCCTCGGGCATGAATTTGCAATAAACAACACATTAATAAAATCAACCAGGGAGCCATGTAGGATCTGTTAGAACTAATTCAATACGAACACAGTCATATTTCAATTTTTCACTTCAGCCAATCGGTGATGACCATTATGAAATCATCGCTAGTTCTGACCAATCAGAAACGTTCTCAATTTTGGTGAGCACGTGACGTTTGAGAGAAATATGACGTAATGTGCTAGTCTTTTGTCGTCGGGAAACTTGCTTTGTAGAAAGCTCTGCGGAGAAAAATGCACGTTGTATACATCACTTTTCATACAATATCAGACATTTTGTTTCACTTGACACTAAGGATTTTAGACACTGAACAAGACTATTTCTTGAGAGGGGTGAAGGAAGCCATATACATCAGGGCCCATCACCCTACATTGAACTGCGACGGGGGTCGACATCGTCTACAAGATACCTTTGACCCAGTGTTGACGTCACACTTCAAAGACGCCACGTGACAAGCTTCACTGGGTCAGTCTACTGAGGAAGACCAGAGTGACTGGTCAAAAGCTCTATGTGAGAGAATTTTTTGTGTTGGAGCAAAAGTTTTAACTTTAAACATGTAACTATACCAACACAGATGAACTTTCATGATAGTAATTTCATATAGCTATATAGGCACTCTTCTTTGAGATGCGGCAATCAACTTTTTTTATTACAGTGCCCGCCGAGTGCGGCGAACTTTAAATCTCTTTGAAGTTGTTCACAGAGTACGCGAGTCCAAACTAGCTCACCCTCTCTTGGAAGCTCGCTGCGCCGGCCGAGCTCACATCTATGGCGCTATCTTTGGTGGAGAAAATTACCACTGGAACGAAAAGAAAAAAGAAAAATGAAGACGTTACCGAAGAGCTATATGTCACGTACGGCCGTACCACCAACATTTCTTCAATTGCACTTCCCGGGCGCAATAAAATCGGCATAACAACCACGGCCCGGATTACACGCCGGGAGCTCCTACTCCACGACATATCGATTTCGTGACAGAAAAAGACAAAACGGCGCTTTGTCGCATTACCGGGAAATTGCGAGCTGCCCCTTCAACCCCTGCCCAGCTCCCTGGGGCCGAGTTTAGAATTCTCTTTCACTTATATTCACCCGACAAATGCCGAGAAGCTCGCGGCATGTAGCCTGGTATCCAGTCTGATCGTGGTCGGGGCCGTAAGAGCTCTGTCCCGCCCGCCTCACATAGGTTTCCCGGTGTGTATTTCACGAGAGATTAATTAGCCCTCCGTGTTGGGGGGAAACCAAATCCCCAAGCATACTGTCTCTGATTAGTGTAACACTCCTACCGGGACGGTCTGTTGCACTGGGCGGGGGAAGCTATTAGAGCCCCCGAAGACACAACCTGCCTGAACACCGTACCCCAATACCCCCAATCACGATCAGACTGGATACCAGGCTACGCGGCATGCGACTATTGAACTAACTTGTTCAGTGGACACACACAATGCGAGGCTTACGCCGACAACAAAGTGGATTCCGTCTAGGTAATTCCGGCACATCAATAACTAAAGACGCTTTATTGCAGCTTTGCACATCTTAAGTCATGGCACTTAAAGATGAGAGACTACTTGAGCGTGCCTTCCCGTATGATAGTCATTTCATGTCTTGGTGACAGGGTGATGTACAATGTGGAATAGGGAGAACTGAGAA